GTGAGTTGTGATATGGTTGGTGTTATCAATTCAAAAGGTAGTATGTACGTCATATTTGGGGGGGCCGTGTCTGAAAATATCGTATCGTGTATCGTCGATACTCGATGTTCGATGTCGATACTGTATCGACATATCGGCAAAATAATTCAGCGATGTCGATGTTGAGTATCACTAAAATATCGACATCGAATGCGGCAAATTGATACGCGATGTCCATCACTATTCGACTCACACGCCTTCGATCGTCAATGAAGAAAATAAAGCAGCGAATATAACACAATCGATCATGGCATCAAACGGTGGCAAGGGTCACGAACAATAAGGGTGCGGAGCCCCCCTCCATTGTTTTTCCTAGCCTGGATTGTTTTCGAGCAGCGCCATAGCAAACCTATGATTCAACTGCACGTAACCTCGGTGCGCCATGGACACCCTAATTTACCGTTCGCAACGACCACCTCCACGCCACCACGCCGACCAACGCCTCCATCTATGCAACCGTTTCGAATACCACCACCCTAACCCTGCCCTTGCCCACAAAGCGTTCCCAGAGTAGGTCAACGAAGCGCCCCCGCCCCCGCCAACCGAAACCTACCGCGCCATTCCAGAGAGTAGATAGCCCTACCTGACGCCTAATACCACCACCCCCCCGTGGAGATTTTGCTGTTCTATTCCTCCGAAACAAGTCAATGTTGAATTCCTTTGTGGCCGGCACCGAGAATGCACTGCGAAAATCTTCCTGGGAATGGGTTTCTAAACCAAAGCACGTTCATGCCTCGGAGAAATAGAGCACATCAGATATGTCCTCAAGGGGGGCTACAGCCAGAACAGCAGTGCGAATATGACAGCTTTTTCTGCTTGCTCTCACTTGGTGCCGATGAGATCCTTCCCCGTAAAAGTCTCCACGACCTTGAGCGTGTCTCCCTCTTCCAGACCGATCTTGGCGCTAACGGCGCCCACGAGGTCTGTCGCCACCAGCAGCTTCCTAGAAATGTTCACGTTCCGCGGATGATGGCGATTTCCGCGAAAGACAGCCGACCGTTCGTGGGTCCTTTTCATCCCGTGGTTTGTTTGCAATGGCATACGTGAACCCGCCTTGAAACATGATTTCAGTCTACCCCTCTTTTTTTCTAAAAAATGTACACAGCACAATACAAAAGACAACCCGTTCGAGGCAATGCCCCGTTTTGTGCCACGGTACAACCACGGGCTGCAGCACGCCTTGACAGCAGTACTGTAGGTCCTTTCAACACGCCTCCTCTTGGAGCACCACAACCCCCCCCCGACGGGTTCCCTCCACTCACTGTAAAGACTGTCAGCACACCCCCTTCGACTGCTGTGACTAAACCTCGAACGGGTAGTTGTGTAGATTTTCTACAACAAACGTGTCGCGTGCGCCCCTCATTAAACCCTCTACCCACCCCACTTAAAACCCACCTGTCGCCCAGGGAGGCGTGCTCCACGACGGAGTACTGGATGGTCTCGCTCACGGCCACCGCAAGGTTAGCCGGCAGCGTCCAAGGGGTAGTGGTCCACACTGAGACTGCTAGCCCTCCACCGGACCCCATATACTTCTCAAGGGCAGGCGTGGCTTCTTTTACCTGCGAGGACAGGCCGTGCACGTAGCAGTGTAGGTCAAGAAATCATGTATACCCCCCCCAAAAAAAGCCATCAACGGACCACCCGAGAAACGCTCAAAAAAAGGCGAGGGGCAGAATTGTGCTGGGAGGGGGAGCATGACGTGGCTCGTACGTCCGTGCGTGTAGCGTGCGCGGCACATCTAAAGGGTCGGGCCTCCATGAGTACCACAACTACGTCGCAGGGCCGTTATCCTTGAGGTCATGGTAGTCCCCCGGTGGCGGTAGAAGCGATTTCCACCACACACAAAACCGAAACGCACCCTTCGTCGCTCTCCTCATACGCCTTGGGGCGCTTTCAACCCCCCCACCCCCCGCCCCTTGGAAGCCCCCCACCTCTCTCCAGACAAAACCCAAACGCGCAACCGCCGCCTTCTGGCAGCAGGTGAAAGAGGCTGTGCTCGCCACGCAAGGAAGCGCGCTTTCACCCCACCCGATATCTGGCAGCAGTCACACAAGGGGGCGAAGCTTGTGTTTGCCACGCAAGAATGAAACGTGCCGTCACCCCGATCAACCCACCTCAAAGGCGGCGTACACCGAAGTGCTCGTGTGCCCCGCGGGGTACTCCAGCTCGGCCTCGGCCAGGGCCGTCCTGCTTGAAGGCGACCAGTTGACCGGCTTCCTCCCCCGGAAGATGTGTCCCTCCGTGAACATCTTGCCGAACACCTGCTCGTCCGGCGTTAGAAAAACGACGGGTTGGCGAAACGGGTATGCGTGAGGGGACCTGCGGCGGGGGAGACGCGGTATGCAGATGTGTCTGGCGGGGTAGGGCAATACCTGACCTCCGGACGAACTCAGAACCAGCGATATAGAGCATGAATACATGGAGGCATGGGCGACTTGTCAAGGACGCAGAGCGAGGGGTGCCACAGCAGTCCGAACAAACAGCTGGCCTTGGCGGGAGCCAAGTATGCGGGGGTCAAGCCATAAAGCAGCGAACCTCATATGCAGTGCATTCATCCGTAACCGGGTGCACTTCACCGAAAAACTTGAGATGTGCTCATCTCTAACTGCAAGGTATCGCGTGCTGTCCATGAACTATCACTGCTGGGGAATGAACCTGCCACAGGTGAATGTCAGCTCCGTCTAATCAAGCCGAGTTGAGCTTGTAAACCGTTTAGCCGCAGGATTGGGGCGGCGTACCTCGATTTGCGCCGCCTCGTACTCGGGCTGGAGAGTGAGGTAGGGCTTCTCGAAGTCGCCCCACACCCCGTACCTCCTGAAGCTTGCGCTCTGCTTGGACACCGTGTTGCGGGCAAACTCTGCCGCCTTCTTCCTGAGCTGCACCGGTGTCATCCCTCTCCGCTCCTTGCTCTTCATGCTTTGTAACACCTGCGGCATCGATCGTGTCGGAGCGGTGGCGACGTTGCTCACCAAGAGGAGGGTAGGAACGCCGTTCCGCGAAACCCATGGGGTGTTTAACACCGCGATGTGTTGTGCGATTGATACGTACATAGCTCTACTGTTAAGCGGACACCATGGTTGTGTGTGTGTCGGGAACGACGACAGTTGACGGACACGCCACGGAAAGCCTGCGCAACGCGCAACGGACCTATGTACAGCATGCAACACATCCCACAGCCCCCCTTCTTGGTGGCAGCCCTGGCCATGGCACGGACAGAAAGGAAACGTCACCGTCGACGGCTTGTGGCGTGGCTAGCACGGACTGGACATTTGGGATCTCACAAACCTTGAGCTCGATCGGAAGGCCGTGGCAGTCCCATCCGGGGACGTAGCCCACTTTTCGCCCCCTGAGCATCTGATAACGGTTGATGAAGTCCTTCAAGATCTGTCAGTCGGAGCAACGTTCGAGCGGGATGTCCAGCGCAGTTGTGTGTGAGCAATGATGATACACCTCTCTCCATTAAAAAAACACCCAACGCTTTACTACTAGAAACACGTGATGGATCAATATCAGTATGTCTAGAGATTTAGCTGGACATGCTATCAACCGTGTACTCGTGCTGCGTTGAAACCACGTCCGTCCCTGTGACAAGGCTTGCGCGTGCACAGCGAATCCGACTATACACAAAACCAAGCAGCGTGTATGGTGGTACCGTGCCAACAAGCTGTCCATGGGCGTAAATGCATGAGCAACAACAGCACCAGTAGGAATTTTCATGTAGCCGAGAGAGGAGCAAGCCATGGTTCCATTCACACGAGAAACGCCCTTGTTAACATGGTCAGCAGTGTTGACCTTGTTGAGGGCATGTCCGATGTGAAGGTCTCCGTTGGCGTAAGGCGGCCCGTCGTGCAAGACAAACTTCTCGCCGGTGTTATCGTCCAGCACTCGCTCGTAGATGCGCTCCTCGTCCCAGAACGCCTGCAGCTCGGGTTCCCGCTTCACGGCGTTCGCGCGCTGGGATGGGAAGGGTTGGGTCGTGCAGGGTACAGAAGTAAGTCGAAGAGAGAAGGAGAGGAGTTGCCCTATTTTGCAACAGAGCACACTGCTGCATGTATTTGAGTTCCAAGTGTCCAACATACATAACCTCGGAGAGCTGCGTGCGCTGGCCCCCTCTTGCATGACAGCGATTTTGTGATCGTCCTCCATTACTTTCGTGGTACAGATCAAGGGATGTTCAATCCCAACAGCGGGGTCATGTTGCACTACTGCTGCACACTTGTTACACGAGAACGGCGGCGGCATGTGATTGCAGTATGCAGCAAGCTCATGTTTTGGAAACGTTGACCACAACAGGCTATCGACACTTTATCCAGGACCGCACTGACCGAACGACAACAGACCGGTCAATACCATCACGTTTTGCACCAGACTTCTTGCACCGCGAAGTCAGCACCCATGCCACCGGGCCTGCAGCCCACACCTCGTCAGCGAAGGCACTCACGCACCTGTTCAAACCCAGTCTGCGGGAGGATAACCGTCTTCTTGTAGTAGCTCTCCGGCTTCTTGGGCTTCTGCTTCTTTGCCGCCGCCTTGCCTCCTCCTCCTCCCCCGGCGCCAGCACCGCTCGCCATCATCCTGACATCGCCGACCACTGCCACTGGCTGTGGTAAACGAGCAACCCGCTGCAATTGCTGCAGCCGCACGCTCTCCCGCCTCCATGTTCGGGAGGACGCCGCGCGTACGCCGCCGGCCGATGGCCGCACGAAAGCTTGAAGCATCTTGGGGCTACCGCGCACAACTACCGACTGCGCCACGAACCCATGCGCAGGCGCAAGAAGCGCCAGCGAACCCACCCACGGTGAGCGCATCAGGAGAGAGACAGAGCGGTTGGCTGTGTTGCACCCGACAGCCGACAGCCTTGGGGGGGGGGATTCCGAAAAACATGTGAACGGATCGTGGGGGGTTGCTTCACGCTTCCTGGATGCCAGCCCCCCCTTCTTGACACTCTCTGCTACTGCCAACTGCTGCGCGACTCAGCCAACTGATGATACGAGCACGAGCCGCGGCGTTCTTTGACGACGACGAAAATGACGGGGCACCGGTGCCTACGTGGATCATGGGCATTCCCTATACAGGTGTGAAGCGTGTGTGAAAGGAGCTCAGTAACACCTACCTTGGTACTCCTATATTATTTATTATGGCATGTTGTTCCGCATATTCGTTGAATCCCCGCGCGAAGTACAGCACTGCCTGTAGACACCCACGTTGACTAGGCAGCGAAACTTACCGTACCATGTCACTCTCTGACCACGACTGTCTCTGAACATTAAAAAATGTCTTGGCGCGGTACGTTTGCAAGCACTGCAGAAAGAGCGGTGTGATAGATGTGCTTCGGTTGTATCCACACGCTGTGTTGGTCAACGGCATACATGTATGAGGGACGCGATTACCTTCCCGGATATTCATAGTGCAACAATCGTACGTGCATTGCCAGAAGCATCTGTCCAATTATTCGGTTGTGCGACAAGTCTCGTACTATTCTGGTATGGGGGACGGGAGGCATGTTCGTATGATATCGTCACAATCTTCAAAGAGAAAGCACACCGAAACGCAGTGTACGCTACTGCTGTGATAGTTGGTTGCGGGTTCTGCTGATGACCACTCCAATGCAGACCGATGCCGCTCTACACTAACATGCTTCTGTGCTAGGTTCGAGGTTCTTGTCTGTGGATGCTCTATTTGTCAGAGGGGTGTCGCTGAGGATGATAAATCAAAGACTGATGATGTTTGGAAGAGGAAACTTTGTCGTTAATTCTGCTCACTACTGCACTCTCAACTCCAGTCAATCAACACTGCTGCTGCTCAACCGAACTCCTGCACTCCCCCAACAGCAGCGGTAAGTCCTGAAGTCTCAAGTCGTCCAGGCACGAGTTGTGTTCCCGTTTCATGCCTCCTCTACCAAGTGATAGAGAGATGTGTTTCCTCTCGCGTCTGGTCGAGTACCCATTGCACTCGTAAATCCGTGCGTCCTTGTTTGTTACGGCACACTCTAAAATAGGCTTCGCCGTAGGTTTGTACGCCGACGTTGCTCGTCTCCTCCTCCAGCAGCAGCTAGACAGCAGCATCCGTCTTTCGCTGAGAAGGTGTTATGTCAGCCTAGTTGCTTTTCGCCCGCAAAAGTGCAACCCTTGCGTAACCCTCAGTTACCAAGCTTTTGAAGGCGGAGCAGGCGTGAGTTCCTGAACGGCACAACAACACCAGAAGGCACAGCAGTAGCGGGTTGCCCTAGGGGCTCGGCCCCGTCTCTGCCGCGTGTGATGGATGGTTTCAACTGAGCAGACCACATCTCGTTTGCCGCGCAGAACTGCGCGAGGAGGAGAGGCGTCTGGACGTGTTTTCGACCATGTGGATTACATACCGTAGCGGGTTTCCGAAGATGGAGCCCTACGGCTACACCGATGACTCCGGCTGGGGCTGCATGCTCCGGAGCGCGCAGATGCTCATGACCCAGGCGTTGCAGCGCCACACCCTCGGCAGGTATGTAAGACTCGCAAGCAAATGTCGAACGAAACACGGTTTTTGCCCGACGTGCTGCTGCTGCTACTTACGGATATCCGTCTGTTGTCACGTATCGGTCGTCTGGTAGGCGTGGAACTTTCGAGGAGAGATCCTTCCCTCTCGGGTGGCGGAGGTGCAAGTTGCTGCGCCAGTCAAACCAGATCGTCTGCTTGGTCTTGTTAGCGTCATGTGCGCCTCCCTCAGGCCTGCCAGACACGATCGTGGTGCGCCGAGAGTAGAGTTACCGAAGGCAAAGCTCGTACCCCCGTACCATGCCCTCTGCCACGTCCTCGTCCCAATCCTTACCGGGCCGGCCGTATGCGGCAGGTCTTGGCGTGTCCCGCGCACTCTGGAAGAGCGCCTGCGTGTGCCAGAGTACCGCACGCTCGTACGTCTCTTCGCCGACCATCCAGGGGAGGCGAATCTGTTTTCGATACACAACATGTGCCAGGTGAGCAACACGGTGTGCACTCTGGCTGGCGAAACGGCACGAACGTGTGCAATTCGCGGCCATGTGTATTTCTAGTCTCGGTTCATGGCGCAGGTTGGCTCCCAGCCTTCTTGGGGTGAGGTAGTGCCTTCGGCGAGCATCCTTTCGCGTGATGTAGACACTTTTGAGGTTCCCACGGCAAATAATTTCGCTTGTAGCACACAGAAAATTCAGTCCTCCACGGTACTTCCTTCCGCCGGGCCATGCACGGCATGACACAGGTTGGCATCCGATACGACAAGCTACCTGGAGAATGGTACGGGCCGACCACGGCGGCCTGCGTTCTCCGCGACATCTCCGAAATCTACGCCGAGCGGTTATCGCCGCCCGCCTCGACGCCCGAACGACCATCGTCGTCTACCGGACGATTACGACAAGCGGAGGTCTCGGCTGCACCAGATGAGCCTGCAGCCGCGGGGGGCGCATGTAGAGGGGAAGGGACTTCGGGCACGTCACTAGAGGGAGGCGATAACGTCGTAGAGGGGAATTCGGAGAGAGAAAGTGGTGCTTCGCCGGCTGCAAACGGGGGAGCTAGCGGTTGTGGCGGCGGAGACAGCGACGCTTGTACCAGTCCCAGCGGGGGCAACGGCGACGGCGTGGTGTTTCCGTCGTCGCGACCCCTTCGGGTTTTCGTCTCTCAGGGGGATGTCGTGTACATCGACGAGGTGGAGGCGGTGGCGCTTCGAGGGGCCAGCGACACAGCAACAACGGCGACGACGGCAAATGGTCACGGCGCCGTCAGCGGCGGCGAGCACCGCGAGGAGGCCAACGGCTCGGCGACAGGGGGTGGGTCGAGCTTAGCACGGTCGGAGGCTGCCGCGGACTCGACCGATAGCCCCGCTCCCGCGTTCTTCGACCCCTTGTTGAATCCAGGGAGCGGCGAGGGGGAGAACCCGCTGGAGAAGGCCTGGTCGAGCGCTGTGGTGCTGCTGGTGCCGTTGAGGCTGGGGCTGGACGAGCTCAGCGCGGGTTACATACCAAGTGAGCGAGCCCCTAGGGTTTTGGCGTGGCGGGCAGGGAGGGTCTCTTGTCTCGCTTATTTTGGATCGCGTGGCGGGCAGGGAGGGTCTCTTGTCTCTCTTCTTTTGGATCGCATTTTTGTTTCGAAACACAGCGCCATCGCGATTAGGCTTAGGTTGAGGACGGCCCCCCATGTGTGTGGAGCATTGGTCGTAGAGATGGTGGCAAGCGCGCGAGTGCTTCCGTCGGTTTGTGTCGTAGCTATCTAGGTCAGCGTGGCGGCTAGCTTCGCCTTGTATGGCCTCCTCACGTACGTCCCAACCCATATCTGATCGTGCAACACCCCCCGAGTCTCACTTTCATGTGTGTCCCGGATCAACCAAGGTCTGCTGGAAACGCTTCGGGTGCCGCAGTCCCTGGGGTTCCTTGGCGGCAGACCGAACCACGCGATATTTTTCATCGGCGCGCAAGGTACACGGTGAAGTCGGGGAGTGGTACACGGCGGAACAGACTTGCTTTTCCGCAGAGCCTGACGATTGCTTTGTTTTTTGGGATCTCTGTGTAGGTGTTGTTTGGAGATTGTTTGAAGATCGACCTTCACAGAACTCATCGTGGGTGCCAGTTGTGTAGGCGTCGGTGACACGAGGACCGGCCTATGACGATGCGCACAAAGACGGCGACGTGGTTTGCCTCCATGACCATCGTCAGCGTAGTTGAAGCTTCAACGTTGATGTGGATCTCGCCGTGGATCCACTCTCAACCCCTAAAAAACCGTTCGGATACTACCCCCTCCCCACTCTGCGCGCGTCGGATCCTTCCCGATTTTTGGCTCCCCCGCAGGAAACACGTTGACGGGGTTGGACCCTCACACCACGCAGCCCGCGGCCGACATGGGCGAAGGTTTCCCCTCGGAGGTGAGCTGCGTTATAGTCTGCACGGGAGAACTCGTAGCTATACAGTTGTATGGGTAGGGTAACTATCAAAGGTTTGGGCGCGTGAACCAGAGCGCTGAATTTTTCTCGTCTGACGACCATCAGTCGCCCTCGTATCTATGGGCGCGTGACGTTACAGTCGTGACGCAAACGTTTATCGTGCCGCGGAATCGGATGCGGGTGCTGCTAGCATACCCCCTGCGACAGCGATGTCGTTGCCTCCGAAGGTTCTCCGTCAACCGGTGCTGTGTTCGTAGACCACACGGCGAGGCCTTGCACCCTATCGCGCTAGTGTTTGAAGATCGCAGGAGATTATGTATTCAACGTGGACCGCTCCTTCCCTTACTGTTGCTGTTCCGGTCCCCTAGCGATACGTGCACTCGCTGCACTGCCAGTCGGCTGTTTCGATGGACGTGCACCGCATCGACCCTTCCCTGGCGCTGGCATTCTATCTGCCGGACCGGGCCACCTTCGAAGACCTCATAACAAGAATCGGAGAGGTGAGAAGTTCATTTCGTTCTTCCACCGGCGCTGAATATGCAACCGTGTTCACCGGCTGAGAACGATTTGAGTCACTGCGGTTGGCGTTAGCATCCGAGCGTTGCGCAATGCATGTGCACGACGGCACGATATGCGTAGACGACCTGGATGGATGGCTGGTCTTGTGAATCTGCTTTTTACACTTCTCTGGCAGAGCGATGGGAACTCCAACTCTTCGTTCACGCAAGCGGAAGCAAGAAAATAGTTCACGCCCTCGATTGTCGTCGCGTAGACATGACTCTTAGTGAACGCTCACATGTGTTTACTCATCGAATCTCTGACGGTGTGGTGCATCAATTTTTCATCGCGTCTTTCCTCGCAAATAGTTTTTTCTTGCGCAGGAGAAGCGTATCTCTTGCCAATAAACCAACCCGGAGTACCGATCCCCACCTTGTGCATGCGCGTGCCCCTCTCTTGGACACACACCTCAGACAAAGCCGCCTCCTTTCTCGGTGGAGCAAACTCGGCCCGACTACGAGGGGGAGATGGGGCTGGCCTTCATGATCAACCAGAGGGATGACGACGGGACAACGGACGACGACGATGACGAATACGTCTTCGTAAAGGGTCCCGAGCGATGACATCATTTTGGGCGAAGCGCTGGATGTATGGTGGAGGCCATGTGTCGCTGTGGCCTAGCGGCAGCACCTGCTGGCTTAGACGGATGTGGCACAAATCCGCGAGATTTAGGGGCGAAGACGCGGCATTCTTTGCTGCTATTATAGGGCCTCTTGCCCGGTTGTACAGGCAGGATTCTGATGGGTGTAGCATAGAATGCTGGAGTATCAAGTGTCAGCACTCGCTTCCGGCCGTGTCTGCCAGTGTCAGGTAACGCCGATGATGGATGCGGTGTTGGTAAATGAGGTTGGTGCCGAATGCGGCGCCATCTTGCTCCAGGGTGCTCCCGCCCCTCTGTACAGTTTTTGGGGCGAGCTGCTCTGTATTCAGCGTTCTCATTGGTGATCGAATGTCTTGACAAGAGCTAACTGCGGAATGTTCACGTGTGCAGAATTGTGACCTTTCTCGTTGGTAACGTAAGTTAATGGGTCGTTCGTCTGATGATGATCTATCGTAAATTCATGGCCCGCTGTTGTCCGTCAGTGAACCTCACGCGGAGTGGATCGTGCAAGCGCATCCTGTTGTTTCGATGCCCCCCGTGAAGATAGAGAGAGAGAAAGGCCAATGAGGTTGATGTACCGCAATGCCGGCCCACTCGAAAGAAGGCTACCAAAAGCGTGAGGGCCAGAGGCTCTACAGATGGCGCCCGCACTTAAGAACCGCTTATATTGGCCAAGGCTCGATGCTTATTGGCTGCCTCAAATGAAGCACCTGTTCTCATTTTCCAAGTTCTTATTTCGAGCAGGCATATCCGCATGGTACACGGGGTTCTTGTTCTCATTTCTGCGCCGAGGGCCCCATTCGGAGGACTTTTTTTTTTTTCTGGGTGGATTCAGCATGACACTTGAGAGCATGATAATAGAAGGTCGCTCAACAGAGACCTCTGGAATATCGACGTACCGCAGATCACGATAGGGTAGAGTGAAATACAGACGCGGTATCGCCTGAACAAAAGTCGCATCGGAGCAAACACCTAGAACCATTTAGAGGTACGTAAGGGTCACGTTCGGCGTGATTGCCCTCCCCGCTCTATCTAACGTCCGTCGCAGCTACATTGTGACCTTCACCCTACTCTTCGAATGCCGGACCTCCTCCCTGCTCTTCGGCGCACTCCCCTCAAGCAAAGCCCACCATCCTACAACCGCACCCACATCTTCACGGTGCTTGTCCAACGGCATTCATCCGGCGCGTCTTGGGTCTACATGTAGCTCGAAATGCATACGGTAGTCGTAAGGTGGCGGGTACGCTCCTGAGACGGCCGCAGCCCATGCTCAGCGTTACGAGTACTCCACATTCAGCAACGAACTGTCAAGAGCAGCGGATGAAGACGCTTGAATTCGGAAACTGGTGGGTGCGACGAAGGAAGAGGTGTCGGCAAGCTTACGTCGCCCCCGCGCCGACTCGATGGCCTCCCAGTCTGACTTCGTGGCCAGTTGCCAGCAATGACATGTTCTTTGATGGCCTCTAAGTATCGATCAAAAAATTCACCTCCTTTCAACTTTGACAGCTGGCCGAGCTCTTTCATTATTTTAAGGGGTAAAGATATGGCTCTCGTGCATGGCACGCAGCGTGGCAGGCAGCCCAATGACACGCGATGAGGGGCATGCCTTGTACAACAAAGCTAAGCACCTACCCCC